TCTTGCTGTCCATCATCCACCACGTGACTATTTTCCCAAGCTAACGATTATTTACCTGATACAGTACTTACATTGACCCGTGGGTAAGTCAACCCAGGTTTGGGGGGGTCAATTTTTGATTAAAATTTCTAGACTTATACATGAGTAGTCTAGAACAGTAGTCTAGAACAACAGTAGTTGTCGCTCAGGATTTTCTAGACTGATCCAGAGCCCTCTGTTTCCATGCTACAGTGTCTCTGTACAAGCATCCCACTGGACTGTCCATCTCCTTCACTGCCACCACAGATCACTCATTCTGAGGTCAGAACAAGGCAACCTACATGTGAATATCACTGGGTGTTTTGTTCTGACATCAGAAGTGAGTGGCCTCCTATGGTGCAGAAATAGAAGCAAAGGTAATGTGGACACAGCGGGTTAGCTGTGGGGTCAGGATACTCAGGCTGCCCCGGAGTATCCTGGCCCTGGAAACATAGGGCCTCTACAGACGGCCTTTTGTGCCGTCTTGGAGGCAGGGAAGGGGAGAGGCAGTCACACGCCAGCTGCCCCAACCCCTCCCCAAGGACGTTCTGACAGCGCGTACCATTATGCACAGCACATGCCATCAGAACATCCTCCTGGTGCAGCATCCTAATGCGCTGTACAAGAAGGGATGCAGAAGAGCCATGCGGTGGCTCTTGGGGCGCCCTATTTGCCGGCTCTGAAAGGAGCAGCATTTTGCCGCTCTTTTCCAGGCCGGCAAATTTGAGAATCGGGGGCCCCATCCTCTGCTTCCCGGGGCAGCCCAGGGCCACCCATCTGCATCCACCCATAGTAAGCTTTAAAAAGTCATTCCCGTAAAAAGAAGAAAAGAAAAGAAACACCACACAGACACTTTTCCTCCATGACATGGGGTTGAATTAGATGGCCTTTGTGGCTCTTGCCACTCATAAGGTTCTATGATGCAGCGATTCACTGAAAGAGGCAAAAACCACTCAACAAACCCTCAAAAGTGCAAACTAGAAGTGACAGCCAGTGCACACTTCCAGTACACATTCTAAGTCACATTTCCAGATCATTTTCAGCTTGCAGTGTAATAGTGTGACAATGCTGGAGAAAAACTTAGGGCCTTTGCAGACTGCCAGAAATAGTGCAAATTGAGTCCACTTTAACTACCCTGGCTGAGTGCTAGGGAATTATGGGAATTGGTTTTTTTCTGAAACATTGAGCCTTCTCTGTCAGAGAGCTCTGGTGCCACAATAAACTACAGTTCCCATGATTTCCTAGCACTGAGTCTGTGGACTCAATTTGCACTATTTCTGACAGTCTGCAAAGACCCTTTAGTCCCAGCTGCAGTTGTCCATCCCTCTTCTAGGAGAAATAATGGGTGACAATGATGATGCATAATCCATGATAAGGGGGAGGAGGATGAAGAGAATGATAATGGCAATAAAGGTTTGATGAATCAGGTACAAAGACCACACAAGAGACTGTTGAGTAGTTAGGACTGGATTAACCAGTTCTGTTGTGGATGCTGTGAGAAGCCATATCTTATGTTGGTCATATGTGGAAGATTTTGCTCTAGGGTAGGTGGTTAGATCGTAATGAGATTCCTCTCTGTCCAAGTGCTTGTAATTGTGTGATAAGATACACGAGTGCATGGAGGCACATGGAAAAACAGCCCCAAATAGAGTTGTGATTATAATCTTTCCTCATATTGTTTTAAAAATAGACTTGTGAGGCAATAATGCATTGGCTAAGAATCAATGTTTATGTTATGTCCTCGGGCAAAAATGACTGAAACCCAATAAAAAAATTCATAATCCTCTCTAGTATCAAAATTCCATTATTAGAAGCACATTTATAAGTGAAAAATGTTGGGGTGGTAGTTTCCCTTTGAAGCACAGCAAAGCATTTATAGTATATTTCTGATTAATCTAAATTCCCTACCCTGGTAATTGCCATTATTTCTTCTTTCTTTCTGCAGGAGTAACCAGTTCCCACCTAAAAGTAGACCAGAATTCACTTCACAACAAAAATGAGGGTTCTACTTCTGCTGT